TCCCCACTGGGACCGACAGCCTGGGCTCAGAGTCTGGGCTCACACTTTTCTCACGGAACATGCCCCTGGCAGGGAGCTTCCTTCCTGATGGCTGTTGGCTTTGTCTTGGTTTCTGGGAGCAGTGTAAGACCCCTTTCCTAGTGGGATGTGTCCATTTCTCCCTATAATTCTGCCAGTTTTTCTTTTATATTTTAAGGCTATGTTGTGAAGTCTATGAAGCTCCAGGATTGTTCTAGCTTCACATTTAATTGTCCCTTTTTATCATAAAATAATGGACCTCTTTATCCAGTGGAGAGCGTTGGCTGATGTCTTTGGTGTAAACACTCTCACCAGGGCCAATGTCAAGCTGCCAGTGAGGAGTCACTGAATCTGGAGTTGGAAAGAAGGACACAGGACCGGCTCTTGGGAGCCGGCACGAGCCGGTTCCGACGTACCACATTTTTTACACACAAGAATGCTTTCTGCCCCAAAGTGCTTTATGTCTGATACCAACGATGGTCTCTCTGCCTTCTCTGACACCTGCCTGATGCACCTTTTCCCATTGCTCTGCTTTCAATATTTCTGTGACATGATGTCTCAGTGGTGTCCGGGACATTCCTACTTTGGAGTGTGACACAAAGCTGTAACCTTTCCCAAATGGTGACAACAGCTTCCCCAGGAGCTGGTGGAGCCGAGTGCAGGACCCACAAACAAGAGGCTCTCACCTGGCCAGGCTGCCTGTCTCGACCCTGGGAGTACAATTTGCCCCTTTTCTGCTGAGCCTGCCAAGCTCACTAACCAGGGAGGGAAACAGATGCACGCATGCAGCACGTGGGTTAGGGTTCAGGGTTTAGAGGGGGTGTCAGAAGAGATTTCTTCTCCTAAGAAACAAAGTATGTCAGACCAAAAAGTCACCGAGGCAGTTGAAATAAAAACCTCTGTTCTCTTCCAAGCGTGCATGGTTTGACCCCCTTACACGACACAGGTGTAGCTCGCTTATGTGAGTGAATGGAGGATTATTCAGGGTGCTTTTCAGATTCCAAGTAGGCTTGGACCGTGGAGAATCTGAGAAAGCTCAGCATTCTTTTCCCCATGAATCAAGATTATTCATCCGTCAGCAAGACATGCCTCAAAGGGATCTGACTACCTGTCTTTGCCCCGCAGACCCCTCATGGTCATGGGTCTTCGTCGGCAGAGGCTATTCACCTCCCTGCCTTCCCCATTCTCTCATCCCTTTAGGGTAATCAGACCCAGAATAAAGACTACCTTTCCCAGCCTTCTTTGCAGCCCAGGTATGGCCATATGACCAAGTTATGGCCAATGGGAGTTAGTGAGTGAAACTTTCAGAAGGTGTTCTTCAAAAGACATGGTCATATCCCTTCCCTGTCCCTCTCCTTCCTGTTGGCTGGAATGTAGATTCAGGGGCTGGAGCTGAAGTCCCATCTTGGACCATGCGGTGAACTTGTGAGGGCACACCCAAGGGACCAAAAAAGAAAGACCTGGGTCCCTGACACTGTTAGCCAGGGTCTCTACCCAGGCTGTTAGGTGAGCAAGAAATAACCATCTCTTGTCTTATAGGCTATCACCCATGGCCAGATCGTAATCCTAACAGACCAAGCCTTACATTGATTGGTGTGGGGCTGCAGAGCACTGTGGCTGGGGGTCCTGCTGCACCCATCTGATTACAGCTCCAACAGCACATTAAGTGTCAAGATGTGGAATGATTATCCAGAGAGAATTCCAAGTGAGTAAAACTCCCACATAGATCCCATGGGCACATGCGGGTTTTCTTTTTCTAGGGAAAGTAAAGGACCAAAACTAAATTGTTAGGGAATATAAGCACAACAGCCATGACCAAAGAATAGGAGTCCAAGCTGAACTCACAAATGTTGTAAAATCTTATCATGGGAGCTCCCCACCACCATCCCCTCCTCCAACGGTGGAGACAAGTCACAGGAGGACAGAGCCATTGGAACAAGAACTGCAATTTCAAAACCCTGTAATTTGTGCACATTTAATACATTTGTAATTTTCTACTTGGAAAAATTACATTTTAAATAGATAATTTGAACATGCTTAACGGAGACATAAAACTTTTGTTCAAGGAATCAACGTTTTGTTTCAGCCTGGAAGAAGGAAAGCCTACCTCCAGTCCTTGGCTCTTGTAATACAAGCTGTCAAGGTCACCAATTTCAGTTCAAGTTCAGTTTCAGTAGTATACTACAAGTTGTGTTATCAACTATCTTTATCCTTTTAAATTTAAGAATAAATTTGAAAAAAAAAAGAATACATTTGAAATATTTTATAATTTCCTTGAATTTCTTTTTTGGTTATTAATTATTTAGAAGTATGTTTCTTAATTTGCCCAACATATGGACGTTTCTTGTGTATTTTTTATTACTGATTTATTCTTTTTTTTTTTTTTTAAGTAGGCTCCATGCCCAGCGTGGGGCTTGAACTCATGACCCTGAGATCAAGACCCCGAGCTGAGATCAAGAGATGGATGCTTAGCCGAGTGATCCACCCAGGTGCCCCTTCATTACTGATTTCTAACCTCACCCCTCATGGCGAGTGAGAGAAGCTGAACTATAGGATTTGAAATCCATTGACATCTGCGTTCTGGGTCAGTGTGAGGTAAATCTTCATGGAGATGATGTGTACTCTGCAAGAGGCCACAATGTTCTGTACATGCAATAGCTAATTATGTTATTCTACTCTCTATCCTTACTTTTTCTTGTTTCAATGTCTGCTTGACTTTTTAGTTACAGAGATAAAGAGAAAAAGTTGTATTAAAACCTCCCATCTATGATGGTGGGTATGTCTCATTCTTTTTGTTCTTCTGTCAATTTTGCTTTATGTATTTTGGGGTTATATTATGAAAAGCATACTAGTTTAAAACTGATGTTTTCTAATAAATGAGAACTTTATCATTATGTTGTAAGCCTTTTAAAACTCTAGTGACACCTTTTGTTTGTTTTGCTCTAAAATCTATTTGGTATGACATTAAGTTTTAAATTGTCTACATTCCTGATTTTTTATCTTTGGAAGTCCAGGGTTAACCATTCTGTGTTAATTTGTCCGAGGGTATGGTATGCCTTTGTATTCTTTTATTTCTGGAAAGCTAACAAACCAATCAAAATCTTTGTCCCATTCTGTGATTTTGGTTTTACCCATGTGTGTTAATTTCCTTTTCATGATGGAGGTGCTCCTCGAGATCCCCAGCTTTGCACAGGAACCCAGTTCCGGCTCCTGGCCTCCCAGGTCCTGGAGCCAATGCCTTGAGTGTTGGAATCCCTGGTCTCAACCCCAGAGGGCCTGAGATCCTAGCAGCCACCTTGGTGTTGGCTCCCAATATCTGCTCTGGCTTTGTGTCTCTTCTTTCTGGGACAGGTCACCTTGTTCCAAGCTCAGCCTCTTCTATTCTCTTGTGTTTTATACGGCATTCTTAGATTTGTGGTGCAGGAGTGGAGAGAGGTGTCTACCTCACCTCCAGAAGTGGGTGGTTCCCATGTCTTGTCCAGGGAACTTCCCTAAAGCTCCACACGGCGGCCTCTGCAGTGGCCCTACCCAGGGAAGTCCACTCTGTCAGAATTAAGGGGCATGATGCCTTGGTGCCCTGAGAGCCCTATGGGCATCAGGCCCTCTGACCAGAAGTGTGCAGCTCTGAGATGCTTTCCCACGTTCTGGGGTGACCTCAGGCAGACACGCTCCTCTTCCCTCCTGGCCTCTGCCCCCATCCACACAGGGGCCCTTGAGCAGGCCTGGGGCTTCCCACCCTTCCTGGGTCTGGACCGCACAGCAGGTGCTGTTGAGGCTCTCCCTCAAAGCTCCCCAGCACCCCCCAAGTCCACCCACACTTCCCCTCCAGGCACCACGGCTCTCTGCTTCTTGGCCTGGGGCTCTCTCCAACTTGCTCAGCGCTGCTAAGGGCAGCCGGGGACCACTGGCCCGGGGAATGCTGAGCAAGTGTCTGGGTCTGTCCATCCCCCACGTGGGCGTGAGAACTCAGAGCTGGAGCTGGCTCTCGGGGGAGGTGGTGTTGGGACAACCAGGCCTCTCGGGGCCTCATGCCTGAGAAATTTGCTCAGAGAGGGGGCTGCTCCAGAAAAGGCAGGCCTCCCATCTGGTTCTCAGGGGCATCAGAGTGAGCCAGACTCTGGGGCTCTGGGTCCCGGAGACCAGGGCTGGGGTGGGATCCACCACTCTCTGGGTCACCTCAAACATCTGTACTTGTCTCCCTGGTTTGCAACAAAATCTGACACTTGCTGAGCGCCAACACAACTCCAAGTCTAGTGAGATCCTCACAACTCTGATGTGGATCCTGGGGCTGGTCACCCACCCCAATGGTATTCTTCTGTCTCCTCAGTAATAGGGAGGAGGTATGACCATGTGTCCAGCTCAAGTCCTGCAGTCCCCATCTTCCACCACAGCCAGGAGTGGCCATATGCCTCAGCTCTGGGTAAGGAGGGGAAGGGAAGCACTGTGTCGACCTCTGCCTCTGCCCGCAGCCTTGATGGCAGGAGCTCCAGCAGCCACCTTGGACCATGAGGCCACAGCAAGGATAAAGGCACATGATGAAGAGGGGAGGAGCCTGGGGTAGGGGGGTGGGGCACCAAGCCATCCCTGCTCTACCTGGTCTGGACTGCTTCTCCATAAGGGAGAAATCAATCTCTGCCTGACTAGATTTTCTCTATCATAGGCCACAGACCCACTCTCCAGAGAGAAGTATTATTTTTTATCTCCAACATACACATATAAAGAAACAGGCTCAGGAGCTGAAGGACGTGCCTGAGCGGTAGGGCTAGGGTTGAATCCCCCCCAAATGGGAAGACAGCGGCATTGCCTCTGATGGCTGCTAGAGGGTCCCATGGGACACTGTACAGGAAGCCCATGGACCTGGGCCAGCTGGGAGGAGGCTGGGCCACCCCCAAGGCCTATGCCTGACCCAGGCCACTGTATCCTGGGCTGACAGTGTGTGGGTGGAGCAGTCTCTGCTGGACACACACAGAAGGATCCAGCCATGCCTGCAGAAAAGAACTTAGGTTTATTTGCAATAAAAACTGTGGTCTGAAAAAACCTAGTGGCAAATGTACAGTTTGTGTTCCATTTGGGGTCGTCACCAGCTGTGGGACCCCCAGATCCCTGACCCGCATGCATCGGGCTCCTAAGTGTTCACAGCTAATCTCAGGCCCCAGGTCCAAAGCCCCTAGAGAGGGCCTCCCATCTCCTGCTGAAACCACCCGCTTCCCAGCCTGCCCCCGGCCCGCCTCCCCTCCTGCCTCATGCAGTGCAAAACCAAACCAAACCACATACATGTTTCAAAACAAACAAGAACAAAACAAAACATTCACAAAAACCAGGGTTCCGACTTCTGTTCCCCCAGTATCCCTCGTTGTCGTGATGACTTGTTTCATGATGACCTCAAATATACATCATTTTCTTGCTATTATAAAATATCTTCCTTATTATTCACAGATATAGAATGAGAGCTTTGGATGAAATAATTACAAACTGTTTTCTTCCCTTAAAAAACAAACAAGCCAAACCAAAAACAAAACAACAAAACAAAACCCTTTTGACAACAGTAAACACGAAAGGGCCTGGCTGGTTCTCCCCCCGACCCCAGGCTCATGGCTGGGCCGGCTGAGCCCAGGGCTGTGCGCAAAGTGCTGGGTGCACCCTGATGATGGGGATTGGGGGCTGCTCTCTCCGAGACCAGCTCTTTCCTTCCCTCCCCCTGCCCCTCTGCCCCCAAACACGATCCTGTTCACCCTGGCTTCTCAAGCCTCTGCAGGCCACCTTCTCTCTTGCCCTTGCTGCTAACTGTCCCCACCCGCTCCCCACCACCTCCCCATTCCGGGACATGGGGCCTGTGAGCCGAGCCCGGAGGCCACACGGCTGATTTCGGAGGAAGCCCAGGAGTGCAGAGTGGCAACCAGCACCCACCCCAGTGGGGGCTAGCCTTCCCCACGCCCAGCCTTGCCCAGTCCCCTCCCCCTGCACAGGGCAGGGCAGCTGACCAAGGTTCAGGGGACACGTGTAGCCCGGGTTTCTCCAGCATCTGTGGCACAGAGCCTGCAGGGAGACAACATCCCTAGGTCTAATGCAATATCCAGGCAGAGTAAAAGGGTCTGGACAAGAAAGCCAGAGCTCAAAAGGCCAGGAGGAGTCAGGAGGGGGAGTTCGGGGGTAAGGCCACCCCCAAGAGCACTTATTTCGAGCTGGCCACGGGCCCAGTTCATGGGCTGCAGGGGGAAGACTTGCCAAGGGCTAGAACTAACATCCTGTGCAAAAGCTGGGAAGACCCTCAGGAACCACCTTGCAGAACACAAGAGTCCCAGAGGGGCCACCTGCTGGGGGGCGCTGGGGGGGGGGCCTCCTCCCGGAGGGGAATGTGAGCAGCAGAGCCCGAGTGAGGGGAAAACTCTGTTTTCTTCCCACCCATATCAGGATTTACAAAAGGTGTATCCACCTGGCAGCAGGACAGGACAGACACACGCCTGGGATTCAGGGCAAAGAACAGTACCATTGACTGGGGAGCAGGGTCGGCAACTTCATCGTTCACTAAAGCTCCCTCCTGAGAGAGGGACCTGCCCTGGGCAGTCTCTGCACCTCCCTAGTGCAGAGGGCCATGAGGAGGTCAAGGGGCCCGCGCAGACCCCCTAGCAGTGCTCTTTTCTCCTACATCCGAGCACAGCTGGAGCTGAGCTGGGGCTGAGCAGGGGCTGCAGCAAAAGGCCTGGCTCTGGTCCCTTCTGACTCTCTAGGCCCAGAGCTTCCCCCTGGGAGCAGCAGAAAGCAGGCAGGCTGAGCATCAGGGCTGAGCAGAAGGGGCTGGGGGAGGGTCCCCTCTGCTGTTCAAGCCCTCCCTGGGACGGCACCTGCTGTTCAAACCTAGGCTCCTGAATGCTGTCACAACAGGACAGAGGCAAGATGAACTCCGGCCTCAGCTGTCACCCAGAGCCTGGCTCAGAACACCACCGGCGCTCCCCCTCCTCAGCACTCTGGCGGTGGCAGCCATGGCGGGGCCGGCCCAACTCGCCTCTATGTACAAGTAGCGTACCCAGGACAGGCCACCGAGGGCAGGCGGATGGTGGGCCAGTTCGCATTTAGGATTCTGAACACCCTCCCCATCCCTGTGGGCTGTTGAAGACGGGAAGGTTGGCAGGCATGTCCCCTCTGTGTCATGGGGCTAGAGACAGACTTCAGAGCTGGACTCTTCCAAGAAAACCCACGAGTCCTGTCCATGTTGTTGCCATCACTGGATGCCCTCCTCCTCTACGTATGTTGAAGGAAACCAGCCGATCTGAAAAAGATGGCAGGATACATGAGAGTGTGTGTGCACGTGTCTGCACCAATGTTGGGGTGAGGCCAGCAGGGGCTCATGGAAATTGGGGATCCTGCAAAAGATTGTGGAGTTCTTCTAAGCCAAGAAGCCTGGTGGAGCTGTAGCCCAGGGTAGGAGCGACCCCCAAATGCACCAGCCCAGAGCAGTTCACAATGACCTGCTCTCCCTCAACCTGCCAGCCAGAAAAAAATTAAATCCTCCCTGGAGGAAAATAACACCATCCCAAGCCTCAGTGGTGTTTTCTTCACAAGCTCATCATCCAGTCAGGACGCAGTGACAGAAACTAAGAGAAAACGCAGGTAACAGAAACCAGTCTACAGGTCATTCAGGGATGGGAATCATCAGTCAGGAAATGTAAATAACTGCAACATATATGTTTCAGGAAACTGAGGATAAAGCATAAAAATTTACCAGTGAACTGAAACCAGAAATCAAATAGAAATCCTAATGTGGAAAATGACTGAAATTGAGAACCCAATAGAATTTAGCAACAGATTAGACAGAGCAGAAGAGAGTGCTCGTGAACCGGAAGACGGGCCAGTGGAAAGTAGCTGGATGGGAAACAAGGGAATGGGTGAAAAACAGGTAAAAGAAGGTAAATAACATCTGGGTCATGATGAAAAGAACTGACGCTCATGTGAATACAGCCCCCGAAGGAGAAAAAAGAAAACAGAGCAGGTATACTGTTTGAAGAAACGTCCAAAACTGATAAAAGGACATCAAGCCACAGATTTTAAAAATCTCTACAAATCTCAAGCAGACTGAATACAGAGAAAACCGCACCCAGGCACATTATAGTAAAACTGATAAAAACCGGAGTTCTGTTTTTGTTTTTTTTAATATGTAAAGCCCCACTGGGAGTAATAGAGACATTTCCCGCAGAGGAGCAATGTTAAGAATTTGGCTGGCTCTTGGGGCACATGGGTGGCTCAGTCAATGAAGCATCAAACTCTTGATTTTGGCTCAGGTCATGATCTCAGGGTTGTGAGATCAAGCCCCGAGTTGGGCTCTGTGCTAGGCGTGGAGCCTGCTTGAGATTCTCTCTCTCCCTCTGCCCCTCCCTGCCCTTTTAAAAAAAAGTTGGCCAGCTCTTTACAGAAATGATGGAACCAGGGACAATGGAATGATATCCCCAAAGTGCCAAAATAAAATACCTGCTAGCCTCAAATTTATCCCCTAAAGAATACTATTTGAAAATGAGCTCAACATGATTCTTCACAAAAAGGAAGCCATTCTCACTGGAGGGATGACTGACCCCATCCCCCGGGGGATGACCAAGAGAAGAGAAGGCTGTTCCTTACAGTAGAATGTCCCCTAATAAGTGCTAAAGAAACAATGGCTGGAAAATCACTGTTTTTCAACCACGATACGAATAAGTGATGAGACAAAATTCACCAATGAATGATAATGATAAACTAGTAGGTGAAAGTTTAATGTGGAACAGGATATTTAATAATTTCAAAGTATTACCCTGGAGATTACTGATTAATTACAGTCACTTCACAGTGGAGAGACTCAGCAGATACCACCTTAACCAAATGATCAAAATTAATGTCACAATAATAGGACAAACTGACCTTATATACCTCTGGATAAGACACTACAGTACTGAAAAGGATATAACATCTGCATTATGTTCCCACTGACAATACATAATATATAACCTAATCACAAAGAAATATCAAACTTAAATGGAGGAAAAGTCTACAAAAATAACTGACCCGTACTCTTCAAAAATGTCAAAGTCATGTGAGACCAAGAAAGGCTGAGGATTGTTCTAGAACAAAGTTGAGGGCCATAGCAAGTAAATGCAATTCATTTAGGTAGACAAGACACAGTTGGGACAACTGGTGACATCTGAATATGGACCGTGGATTAGATAATCATATTCTGTCAAAGGGGAATGTCTTTGATCGTAGGACACTGAATACTAAGGGGCTTAGGGGGGAGGGATAGGACTTCTGCAATTTACTATCGAATGGTTAAGAGAAAAATAAGCAGAGAGGGAGGGAGAACACAAATGATAAAGCAAACATGCAAACCATTCTTAATTGGTAAGTCTGGGCATGTGAGAGCTCTTTGTGCTATAGCAACTTTTCTTCAGGTTTGAAATTGTGTCAAATACATTACAAACGTTTTATAACGAGAACATAAAAAAAGAAAATGAAATAAAGAGGTGTTCAGATCCCACAAAAACTAAGAATTTATTAGTAGCAGACTCACACTAAAAAACATACCTAGAGGAGGGAATTTCAGGCAGCAGGAACATGATTTTGGGTGGAAATACAAGAAAGCATGAAGGAATGGGGAGCCCTGGGAAAGGTAAATAGGTGGTAACTCTAAACAAACACTAACTGCTTAAAACAAAAATAATGTCTCATGGGACTGAAAAATATATAGAATTAAGATACATGACAACACCTGCACAAAAGTTGGGAGGAACATGAATACAGTCAAAAGTTGTAAGGTCTTTGCATCATCCAGGAAGTAGTAAAAGTACTAATTTAAAATGGGCTCTCAGAAGTCAGAGTGCATGCTGTAATCCCTAAGGTATTAACTCCTAAATAAATAATAGGAAAAGAATGGCCACCAAAGGGCCAGGAAGTAGAATAGAAAAAAAAAAAATATATGTACATACTGATTAATTCAAAAGTAGGCAAGAAAAGAGGAAAAAGAAGAAATGGATGTGACAAATAGAAAATAAACAGAAAGATGACGGATTTAAATGTAAGCAGCTCAGTAATTACAGTAAATGTAAATGGGCTACATACACATTAAAAGGCAGAGACTGTTAGAACAGACTAGCTCTAAAAACTCTGTTTAAGATAACACTTTATCTTATAGCTCCCTTAAATATAAGGATACAAAAAAGTTGAAAGTAATGCAAAGAGAGAATGAAGTCTGCCACATACAACACTAACTCCCCCCCACAAAAAAAAGCTGGCTTGCTCGAACAACACAAAGTTGACTTTAAAGCAAGAAGAACTGCCACAGACAAAAAGAAACACTTCACAACAGGGTCAAAGCAACAGGAATATCTAGTAATACTCTAAGCCAGTAGTTCTGAATCACCTGGGAAACCCGTCTATTCCTGACCTTCAGGATCTGGGTGAGGAGGACCCAGGTATGTGCTCATTGAATTACAGCCCCAGGTACCTCCAGTGCTGGCGCCCTAAGGGCCACTTAGAGAGCTAGTGGTTCAGCCCTCCAGGTCAGCTGCCCAGGACTCAGTGGCCTCACACTTCCGAAGGGATGTGGGGGTGGAAAGTGGATCTGACCCCAGGCCTCCAAAGGGCAGCCAACATGCTAGGTGGAGGCAGACCAGCTCCCACCACCTGGCCACGGAATGGTGGGCAACAGGAGCCAAGGCAGGCCGACCCTCCACAGCCCAGCGTGCCTGCCTGCAGGCAGCTGCAGCCCCAAGGATAGCTGGACGTTTCCAAATCTGCCCCACGTGGGGCTCCAGTATCCTGCTGGGTGAGTTCTGACAGAGACAGGTCAAAGCCATCGGGTCCAGACAGGGTGCAGGGATAAGGGGCCATAGAGTGTTGCAGGGTCACAGGGTGGACAGGGAAGAGAGAGTCCTCAGGAAGAGCATGAAGGGGCAGGGTGGGTGGGAACATGGTGTACCCCTTCCCATCTCCCCATGACATAAGTGAGGCCAGTGAGGACTCCTGGGCCTTGCTCGCATCCTGAGGTCTCTGCCTGCACAAAGGGCTTGGGTACACGCAAGTAACATGAAGAGTGCATACGAAACACATGGCCCTGCTGTGGCCACAGAGGACCACGGAGCAGGCCTGAGCCCAGATACAGCGTCAAATGGGCCTGGATCCAGCTCCAACCGGGGCAGCTCGAGTCTGTGGCTCAGGGGGTATGGGCATGGTGCTGGGGCAGGCTGCACTGAGATGCCAGCCTGCCCAAACCCGGCCCGCAGGCTGAGCCAGGCCATGTCTGCCCCACTTACCCGTCCGTTGGCCTCGCCCTTCCACCAGCCCTGGTCCCCGCCAATGCGGCTATAGATCTTCACCACGTCGCCTTCCCGCAGCGAGAGCTCGCGCATGTCCCGGGCGGCAAAGTTGTACCTGGCCACGGCCGTGCCAATGACACGGGGCGTGAACACTGTTGGAGGAGATGGGCAGGGTCACACAGCTGGCGGCGGGGCCAAGCGTGGACCCCTGGTGTCTGGCCCCCTGTGCAGAGAGGAGGGCTGTCTGGTAGGAAGGCTCCGAAGGCACAGACTATTCTCCTATTCCGCCCAGCCCCACAGGCAATGGCCTCCTCGAGCCTCCCATGAAGGCGCTCGGAGCGGTCGCCAGCCACACTGGGGGCCGTCACAGCCAAGTGTGGTCATGGGGTCAGAGCAGAGGCTGGTGTTCTGACCACTGCAACTCCCGCAGGGCCTCCCCCTGCATGCCTGGTGCACAAGTGTCACCTGGCCAGGGGTCAGCTGAGTGACCACTGCCCAGCTCCCAGCCTGCACTCTGATGGAGCACCTGGAGCCAGACCCCAGGGTCCCGGGGCCCGACTTCCAGATCCCCAAACCAAACCAGACACCTAACTAGACCAGCTCAGTGGGGGGCCCCGGAGCCCCGCTGAGCAGGGGACAACATCCGTGATGGAGGGGACACACACAGCGGCTGGGGAGGGGCTCTGACTCTGGCAGCGGAGGGCCACGCAGTAGGGGCCGACTGATACCCCGTCCCCCTTCCTCCAGGGCCCGCCCGGTGGGGCCCGCCCGATCTGCTCCCGCCTTCGCCCCGAGGGTGGCCGCCCAGCTGTTTGCCGCTGCCAGAGGCAAAGCTCTCAACAAGCCAGGAGGGACAGGGGCTGCCCAGCTGGGGAGTGGCCATCGGGGTGCGCGAGTCCGAGGGGTGACAGCAGCGAGGGGGGCAGCGCCAAGCCTGACCGCATCCTCAGCCCTGCCCTGGCGGCCGGCCCCTCCCGTCCCTGGCCCTGG